CAGTCAGGGCTGACAGAATCATCAGGAAGGCTAATCTCTGGACAGACTGGCAGGACTCTCTGAAGGACTAGGTTGCAGCAACATTAGAGGTGGGACTATCTTTTTGTTTTGTCTTCAGCCTATGAGGTCAACTTTTCATGTGCTGTTCTTTTCTATGTAATAAATCATTTGTTACCTTACTGACTGCTTGTGGTAAAGCATGATCTCTGGACAAGTGATATTGCAGACTAGCCCCTTTACAACTTCTACAAAGAGGGACCTAGACTGTTTCCACAACCCAAGAGGAAACCACCTGGAGCCAACAAAGAATCCCCTGCTGTAACTATGGTTCCAATTTAAGGGCAGTGGACCTGAAGCTTGCAGGGATAAAGGGTTACCCAGGGCAAACCTCATTCCGTTCCTTCAGACAAGCAGCAGGACAGCAGAGAGAAACTTGGGGCTCCAGGGATACCGCGACAGATGGGTTTGTGACAGACACAATGCAATCACTCAAACTGGATTTTGATTGTTAATCCTGAACTAACACTTGCTAAAAATTTTGTGGGTTTTTTAATGACTACAAATAGTCCAGATTTTCTATCACTGTAGCTCCCTTTAGCACTAGGTTCAGTTAAGTATTCAACTCTGAGCTGGACAGAAGAGTGATATTTACTGATTAGTAGCATTATTTTTGTGAAATACCTGGATTTTCCTTGGACAATCCTACATCTAAGTTCTGAGTTGACACCAACCTTCTTAGCATGTGACAACTGATGAAATGACAGTCAGAAGCAGCATGTCTACAGGCAGTGATATGCCCAAACCAGCAGTGCCAATCAAATGCCAAACGCAGAAGGTGAGGATTCCATAACATAATTTGTGCTGACAGGAAGAAGCTACTGGCTGAAATCTTGGAAGCTTCTTTCCTTTAAGAATATAAAAAAAAAATCAGTGAAGAGAAAAGGAAGTTGGATTAGCTAGTCAGTGGAATGAGAATAATACTGGGAATAAGTCCAAAGCTAGGTGTTTGGCATAATATGTTGGCTCACACTCCAGTGACAAGGTGACTGTCTGAAACAATAAATGTGTTTATATAGGCAAGAGATCTTAAAGGTGAACCATTTTCCTGTATAGGTATGATAAGGAGTAATTCACTTCAACGTGTTATCTCTGGATGATAATGGTAAAGGTAGCAACCCTTTACTCATCGCTAGCTCCTTTCATTTGAGTATTTCAAAGCACTTGACAAACAAAATCTTACAGCCTTCTTGTGTTGTTAGATCCATTTTCAGATGGGGACACTGCAGTAGAGGGAGAAACGGCTTGATCAAAGTCACACAGTGGCATCAGTGGCAAAGACAGGGAAATAACTTGAATTTCTTTGTACAATTCATACGTGGTGGTTAAACAGGCACACATGTTTAACCACTGTGTTTAACCAACTTTCATAAACATATCCACACATGTATGCACACATATACAGCAAAAAAGCTGTAAAAGACCACAATTTCCAGCAAATAACTTAGAAAATCAAAACACTTTATTGTTCCTTATAAATGAAAATACAGTATATTACATAAGTTGTTAGTGGTGTGTTCATGCGAACACACATTCAGTATGGGAGGAATATATTTTACGTGTGTTCTATCTACTCAACTAGTTATTTTTTTCAGCATATTACTTGTGTACACATTCAGATCAAAATGAAGCTGTATGAGGGATAATTCCAAACCCGATAAGAATGACAGTTCTACGCTGCTGTGTGAGAAACACAGGATAGCAGGTATTTTGCTTCTCGCCCTGGGTTGGACTGAACCTGCTACTTAAGGGAGAAATATAGCTTTAGTTGCTAAACAGCACCCCCTCCAGCTTATCTGATTGAAGCAGTGGATTCACTCCTGGTCCTTATTGGCTGATGCAAAGCTGACCATAACAGAAACTTTTAATTATAACTCTTTGGGAATAAAGCACTGAGATAATTTCTTTAATGTGGTGGTATTCTCTTTTAAGGCACCTATTAAGTATGGTGTCTGACCAGTGATATGATGAGGTCTTCTGTGATTGGAAGTTAATTTACACATTGGGCTGACAGTAATTAAATTAATCTCCTTAATGGAGTTATAATATGATGAATTTACTCTTCTATATTTAGTTTAGGGAAAATGTCCTAAAGAGCCTATCTATAGAGAGGATGTGGCAGGAACATTTGAGGTAATAATTTTGGGTGTTATTTTTTTTAAATGCTAATACAAAATGATAATAAGTATCCTGGCATTTGGAAAACTTTTCTGTGTTCCATAAAGGGTGTGAACTCTTCACACCACTAGATATGAAAGAACCATGTTATATCAGCTTTTGCTATGTTATACCCATTCTCACCATGAGTGTGGTCACTTACTCCCTCCTCCCAGCCCAGTGTATATGCATACACCTTTCTTTCTCACTCACACAGAACCAAACTTTCAAATACTTCTCATTTTTTCATTCACACTCACAGTCTCTTTCCCCTGTATCTGTGCTTTATTCAGTCTGAGGCCCATTATTTGATCCCTCTGCTGGTCCTTTGAGTCAAGATAACTGCTACACTATGGACTGTGTCATCATGAGGCAAAGGACAGGGCAAAAGGGCTAAAGAAGGGTCATCCTTAAAAGCAGCTAACAGAACAGTAATCCTGACTGGTCAGATAATCAGTCTATTAGCATCTACCCCTTCACATAGTTGTGGAAGGAAGAGATCAAGGACTATAACAGGATAAGTCCTTTCTATCCCCTACCTTCTAGGCTATGGAGACAGGCTCTCTATACCTTCCTAGTAGTTTGCATATCCTGCCCCTAGAGCACTTGGTTGCATTGCATTTTATTATTAAACTATTGTTTCTATCTCAGGGTCACTTTAAGCTGCATAAAGCTCCAAGGGCCATACTATGAATCCCCTCACCAGAACACACATTTTACTGACAGTCTACTTATGATGACATAGACTATCAGGAGGCCCCAGCTGCAAGTTGTGGGTGAAGGCATAGGCTGGGTAGTAGAGGGAAAGGGACTGGAGAAGAATGAGGAGAGATGGAAGAAGGGAAGCAGAAGCCCACAGGAGGATCTGACTATAATATTACAAATAGTTCAGAGACGGTTGCCAAGTACACAGGTGCAGCAATACATCTACAAAGCTGTAGCAGTTCTTCATCTACATGGTTTGTGATCTCCTTGGTAATACGCTACATCTAATCAGTTTGCTAGCCATTCCCTTCCTCTCACAGAGGCTGCTATGCTGAGAGATGGAAGAGTCCAACTCTGGAGTGTTTCAGCAGAGCATGGGAGAAAGTAGAAGTGTGTATGCATGTGGCAAGTGTGTGTATTTTGTTACTTGTCTTTCTGCCTGTGATAGTCACTTCCCACATTTAGCACAGGGATGAGAAGTCCTAGTAGCCATCTCTTCCCAAAGACCTCCTGCAGGTTCTTCCTCCAGGGCCGGGCTCTTACCACCATCCCTTTCCGCACCTGGTATCGAGTTTGCCCTCTCAGGATCAACAGCATCTGGTGGCAACAAAAGCCAGCACAGGCCAGTCCAATTCCAAGCCAGAGATACAGCATGAGGATGACAAACATTTCAGAGCTAAGGAGGGCTCCTATAGATACAGAGCCAGGGGAGAGGGAGACAAGAAAGAAATAGAGATGAGATTTAAACACACCTTGTATATTAGTACAGTATGCATCCAGAAACATTCAACTGGATTATATTCTGTAGCAATTATACATCTGGAGAGTTAGAAGGAAAAAAAAGCAGTAATTATTCTAATTTCATTAAAGTATTTTTTTCATGATGTTCAACTAATGCTGCTGAGGAAAATGCTGATATATTAGAGGCCATAGACAGAGGGAGAAAATATTATTTGGGGGGGCTGAGTGTGTGTGTGCTAGCACACGCACACACACCCCTCCCTCCCCAGCAGGTAGATCTGTCATGGAGA